AATATAGTTTGGATCGTCGGTTGCTGGAAAAATGAGGGTGGAGAAAACGTGCAAGTCCCTCTAGGTCTTTTATTCTATAAGGAAAAAGTCCTTCCACAAATTAGGTTCTGTGTCAATAATTTTTGTTAGAGTATTAATTATCTTAATACAAAATCTAGAAATGTTAATATATTCAATCAGTTCTTCAACATCTAAGTGATAATTTTTAAGATCTTAACTGTTCAATCACTTGACGGTTACTTAACTTCTTTAGCAAGAGGTATGGATGGTAGAGAAGGTAGGAGCCGCAGTTTCGCCCTTCAGAATAAAAATTTTCAAAAGAAAAAGTCCAAAAAAGAAAAGACCACATTGTACTAATCATTTCAGGGGAAAAAAAAGAAAAGGAAAATAATAACAATTGTCCCACAGACTCACCTTCCAAGTTTTTAAATAATTTTTTTTATAGAGAGAAGTAAGACATTGAACATATAGGAATAGATTCTGAACAATGACCGTGTTCTTCATTATATAGTAAACTATAAAAATTCATCAACAAAGTTACAAAGGAACATAAATAAAATAACTCTTCCACAAATAGCAATAGACCACATAAAAACTAAAAAAGTTTAGTCATAGTGATATATAACATTTCTTGCTAAGACAATGACACATACAGGAATACATATACATAACAGATCAGTTTTCAGCCTGGTTTCCTAGGATAAAAGTGACTATACAAATTACTGTTAAATCAATTTTAATGACCTAGTCAATTTAAACCAAATTAGGCCTAAAGCCACATAAGGCTCCCTTAGTTTCCTAGAGCTAACAGGGTTACTTACTAAATAAACCAAGTCATTCCTCTAATTCTATGTTTTGCAAGGTTGGCCTGAACTTCCTAACCTCAATTCAGAGTACTGAAATCAGAGGACTAGGCTGAGGAAATTCTACTTTGATGTCATCCTATTCATGGTGCTAAGGGACACAGATATTGGAATTCAGAGATGGAAAGTTAATAAATATTGTGCAACAAAGAAGAAAATACATACAAGAAACTGGTGCCTCTCTACCTGGCTACAAATTTGAATCTCCTCATGAGCCTTTTTTTTAAAGTACCAGATCGATTAAAGCAGAATCTTTAAAACTTGAGCCCATGCTTTAAAAAAAAAAAATCACCAGATGATTCTAATACAGAGAAAGTATTAAAAAGCATAGCGATAGATGATATCAAGAAAACAATATATTCAGATTGAATGCATCCGAAACAGAGAATTGTGTTCCAAACCAAGAGTCAACTCCAAAGGGAATAATATAAATGACATTTTTTGAACCTCCAGAATACAAAGATGACAATTTATAGTAGCCAGGGCACCAAGAAATTATCTGAGGGGCTGATTGCTGAAATACTGAAAGCAAATAAAGCAAAAATTCGCTCTGGTGCCCTTACTCTTCAAGGGCTGTGAGTACAAATAGCTAATAAAATCAAGCAGTGGAGCTATTAAGCTCCGGGTACTTCTGTGCTAGGAAGAATCAGCAGTTAAAAAAAAAAAAGTATTTCCAGAATTAATACATCTGTTGTTCTTTGGGTGTTGTTACCAACCTCAAAGTAAAAAGCCTTGGAATCAACTATATAAGCAATTTTTAAGGCATTCATCCAAATTCGGGTCATATGGAAACCCTAAATCTGTTTGCCAATAAGATTTATTTTTTAGCCTGAAAAATTAGGAAGAGAACTTTAGTGACTGAACTTTCACAAAAAGTTTTCTCAACTTTCTGATGACCCTAAGAATCACCAAACTTAGAGTGGATCAACAGTGCAAAATTAAAATTTAACCATTATGGGTGGAGATATAAAATATATATTTCAGGTAAACAACAAGGTATAAAGAATAACAAACACTTGTATACTCATTATGTAGCTTCAGTAAAATACAAGGAAGTCTTCAGCATTCTTCCTCTCCCATTACCTTTCCCACTCTTACCAACCCTTTCTAAATGAATGGAACTGTCCTAAAGTTGGTGCTTATCATTTCCAAGAATGTTTTTATAATTTAACCATGTATGTATAAATCTCTAAACAATATATAGCATGATTTCTTTTATGTTAAAGTTTTATAAAAATAGTATCATAATATACGTATTTTCTCACATAAAGATAGCTTTTTTATTCAATATTGTATTATTATAAGGTTTATCCATGTTCATACACATAGTAATTCATTTTAACTGCTGTATAGTAGTTAAATAGTACCACAGTTTGTCCACTGTAACACTACTAATATATTGAAATACATATTCTCACACATGACTCTGGAATAGCAGAAATTTCTCCAGACAGTGCTTCTCAAATTTCTATGTGCATATAAATCACTTGAGCATCTTGTTAAAATGCAGGTTCTGATTCAGCAGGTCTGAGATTGGGTCTGATAGTCTACATTGCTAACAAGTTCTCAGGATATGCTCTAGGCTACCCTGTTCAGTATGGTAGTCACTAGCCATATGTGGCTATTTAAACTTACTTAAATTCATATAAATAAAAGATGTGGTTCCTCACCCACTCTAACCATATTTCAAGTGCTCAGTAGTTATTGGACAGCACAGAGAACACTCTCATCATCTCATAAATTTGGACTACTGAACAGCACTGCTCTGGAGTCTTTTTACTCAAAGTGTTGTCCAAGGACCAGCAGGCAACTCTTTAGAAATGGAGAATCTTAGGCTCCACCTGATGAATCCTAACCTGAACTTTAGCAACATCCCCAGGTGATTTGTTTCTCTCCTAAAGTTTCAGAAGCGCTGCTTTAGGGTGTTTTATACCTAGAAGTGGAATTGCAGGCTTGAAGGGCATGCACGTCTACAACTTTGCTACCTATTGCCAAGTTTCTCTCCAACACAGTTTAACCAGTCTATAATCCTCAAAGTAATCTGCAAGAGACTTAATTGCTCCACCCCACATCCTTACCAACACTGGATATTGTCAGACACCATGACTTTTGTCAATATAATAGTATGAATGTATTTCTCTATTGTTTTAGTTGGCCACTCCTTGATTAATAGTGAGATGGAGCATGTTTTCATATGTTTATTAGCCATTCAGATTTTCTCTTCCATCATAGCCTATTCATATTCTTTGCTCACTTTTTAATTAAGGTTGATTATCTTGTTCTTATTAATTTGTAAGAATTCTTTACTTGGGCTAAATACTACTCACTTGTTTATTGTATACATTGCATATATCTTCTTCCAGTCTGTGGCTTCTCTTTTCACTTTGTTTATGGTGTCTTATGATGTACCTAAGTTTTTAATTTTAATTTTTATCAGTGTCATCAATCTTCTCTATTCAGGTTACAGTGGCAGGGCAATCTTCAAGTACCACAGGACAACTAGGTTGAAGCATGATTTTTCAATGTAAATTCTTTCCCCTCTCCATCTTAACTCAACTAGGAGTAAGGATTCTAACAATCCTGTCTTCCACCAATGAAATCTTGTCTCTACAAGCAGGCTTCGGGCTTCTCTGAGCAACTAGGTCGCCTGACAACTGAATAAAGTGAGGGAACCACCTGACCCCTCTTCCATTCACAGCCATAAGTATTGGCCATACTTTGACACAGAGATTCTAGATCTACTAGAGCATTTTCTATAAGGAGAATGAGAGGGACTTCATTTATAGCTAACTTGAGCCACAGAGGCTTGTTTTATTTGGTCTTTTTTCCCCTTGATATATCAAAATGGGAAAATATGCTAAGGCAAAAGGAGTTTGTTGTCCTTTATCCATTAAATAATGTAATCCATAAGGAAAAATCAACAAGTATAAATAGTAAACGAGCAGAAGTTACACAATTCAGACTATAATTTTTTTCAATTCTGAAATATTTATATGGAAAATTACTATTATAAAGGGAGAAATCTGTCCACTATAAAGGGATTCCTCCTATTATTTATAATGACCTACTGATCATATTTAGAAAGGAAAAATACCAGATGCTTGGATCAATACTGGGACATCTTTCTATATTTCTAAATATCATTTGCTTATTCCATAAATCAGCTCCAATAGCAACAACAGTATTCATTTATTTCATCTTGCCATTCATTTACTAAAAGTATTTATTAACTATTTTATGTTGTCATAAGCTAGATTTATAGAGCTATGATGATGAATCAGAATGGAAGTATCTATATGTCCTCCAGAGTCTTTTCTTAATATTTATCAAGCACTCACTGGGTGGTAGTCATAGTGCCAACCTTTTTACATTCATTATTTTATTTTACCTTCTCAAAAACTCAGCAATAATTCATCAAATGTTTATTGAGCACCCACTTTGTGCCAGGGACTGTTCAAAGCACGGAGGAGTCAGTAGAGGAAAAGATTCCTGCTCTCGTGGAATTTTATAAACAGAAGATACACCTCATATACTTTTTCAAAAAGATGATTTCATGTAGTAGAAGTGCTCTAAAGAAAATATTACAGAGTAATGGGGTAAAGAGTGCAATCTAAGACTTGGAGAGACTAACTTACCCAATCACACAGCTGGAGAGTGGCACTGTTTGGACTTGCATCCCATGCCAACTACTTCATCATCTATTTACATTTTAGTGTTTACTTGCCTCTACACCTCATTTAGCACTGGACAGGATACGGCAAAGAGAAGGAGGTGCAAAGAGTCCTCCCTGATGTGGCTCAGACACCAGACCAGCAGATCAGCAGACCTAGATTCTATTAGCATCTCTGCCTCTACCTCCCATGTCTCCTCCCTACTATTCAAACAGATAGACTTGCCTAGCTCCGAGCCTCAAACCAGTTCTTCAAAATTCTGAGTGCTGGTAAGGAGGCAAGGTAAAAAGATGGCAAGATCATGAACAGAAGTTATGAAGAACAATGTGACACCACAAAGCTATGCATAACTGCTAACAGGAAAAATTAATTGAGAAGAATCTTTAGAGTATAAATGTGAAGACTCCCTTAACTCAAATTTTCATTGGGATACTGAAAAAAGAACCATGAATATTTTAAATGGATATTTATTCTACAGACATTTAATATTTTTAGGTGATTTTCTTTTCCAAAAAACCTGCCATTAACTGGGTAGTTCATAGTATACATCATGGCTTCACATAACAGAAAAAACACAGTAATTCATTTATACAAAAATATGTAAAATAAATACTATAAATCAGAGAATACAAAAAGTAAAGCTTACAAGTATCAAAATGAAAGTCTTTTTTGGAACAATGAGCACCCTTTGCACCCAAATTCTTGTCTTGAAATTCCATTCTTCACTATAAAGAACCAGAACTCAGTGAAGGAAAGATTGACCAAAAGTATGGAGTAGGAAATGTGTAAGATGAGTCTATACGTTTTGTCATAACAGATAGCAAGGAAATGATCAACGACTCTGAAAAGGGGGACTATTTACCAAAAAAGCTTGAAAACCCAAAGAGAGGCACCTACCAGTCAAATATAGAATAATTTAAGCCTCAATAAGATACTTACTGTAGTGGACTAAAAGACATCAAATATGTTAAAATCAGGACTTCATCATGATTTTAAAAACTACTTGGCCTCTATTAGCGAAATATGTGTCGATGAAACTATAACATATCTAGCTTTTGCCTCAGAATAATATGACAGAGGAAGTTGGTGAGGGTAGAAACAAAATAACATTGGCATGAGCTGGTAACTGTTGAAACTGGGTGATGGTACATGGATATACTCTATGATATTCTATCTACTTTTGTACATCTTAAATTTTCCAAAATAAAAAGTTAAAACAAAAGAATTCAGTCTTTTACCTGAAAAGTACTTTCTAAAATTTCTGAAGAAAAATCTACAGTAAAGAATGTTTGAAAGCAGAAAAAATAATAGCATGAATGATAAGAATCCTGGTTACGATGCTATTAGACATAAACCAGAGTTAAATATTTAAATAATCAGAGAGGCAATGGATTATTCAAAATAGCAGATGCAGATTAAGCTATGCAGAGACACTGAGCAGAATTCAAAATAATCAAAACTATGTTTTAAAATACTCTTTCTGAAAATTCAGAATTTGTGAATCACTTTGTTACCTAATGGTTTAATGGCAGACTCATCCAAAACTAACATTCTAGTACAGTGAGTGCTAAACAAAATTACAAAGAAGATTAATTCTGGCTTCAGCTCTAGCCACCACTTCCACTGCTGTCTTCTATTTACCCTTTAAAGATATCCAGGATCTTCTTCCTCTTTCCCTTATAAAAACCTTCTTTGAGAGAAGGATATGATAAGCACATTCACACCAAACTGTAAATGACTCAGATGATTTACCACTGGACTCCTGAGTGCCTAACTCAGTCTTACACTTAGGTAGCTAAGCAAGCATATCTCCAACATGCAGACATGAACAGGTGGTCAATTACCAATAAAGCAAAAGAACCACAACAGTGATTATCAGTAAATACATAAGACAGAAGATTCACCTGAAAAAAAAAAAATCAGGGAAAAAATAGAAAAAAATTTATTTTACTATAAATTCACCTTTCTTATACAATGTATATTTTAACAATTAAATGTTATAAAAACAATATAACATTGCGATAGAAGAAGCAGTTTTAATAAGAATACATTACAACTCACTTTTTGTATAGTAGATAACTTAATCTAAGAAAAGGACTTGATGCAATAACTTTGATTTTGGAGAGTGATACTTCTTCAAGCCCCCAAGTGAAATCTAAATTAAAATACTTAATATTTTCCTAAGCTAAGCTTTCAGTAAATCAGTCAGTGAAAGGCAAATACAATTTACTGACAAATGTCCTATATTCTCTCTCACTATTTTCTTGATATATTATTGACAAAAGGGAATCAAATGTGATAACAACCTAGTTGTACTGCCATATGGGATGACATTTAGTTGATACCAAAGCTATACCTATATAACTCAAGTATAAAAATAAAAGTTTAGGGCTTCCCTGGTGGCGCAGTGGTTGAGAATTCGCCTGCCAATGCAGGGGACGCGGGTTCGTGCCCACGTCCGGGAGAATCCCACATGCCGCGGAGCGGCTGGGCCCGTGAGCCGTGGCCGCTGAGCCTGTGCGTCCGGAGCCTGTGCTCCGCAACGGGAGAGGCCACAGCAGTGAGAGGCCCACGTACCGCAAAAAATATATATATAAAAATAAAAGTTTAAAAGTAAACCTTTCATTTTCAAAAATTCACAAGTGCTCATCATCGGTGCTTTATTTAAAAGGTAAAAAATATGCCTTACAACTCCTCAGTATGCCTCTCAAGAACTCTCCATCTGGCTTCCCTTGCATTTTGCTTTTAAGCCATATGACTGAATGCATGTTTAATGCACAGAACATTGCCTAGCATATGGTAAGGGCTATTGATAGCAGCTATTTTATTATTAATACATAGGTCTAATTATTAATACCATTAACATTAGCTATTATAATAATATTAGATATTAATATCATTATAATTATTCCTACCATTTATATTAATGTTGACTATTCTAATTATTTATATTGATATTTTCATCATTATTATTACCATCCATGCTACCATGTCCACTTTTACTGAAAACCCAAAGGTACTTAAGCTTCAGGGACTGTAAAGCCAAAAGTATAGTAACTAGTCTTTTCAACAAATGGTATTAGAACAACTGAACATCTGCATACAAAAAAATTAATCTAGACACAGTCCTCACACCCTTCACAAAAACAGACATATATGCAAAATGCAAAGCTATGAAACTCTTAAAAGATGACACAAGAGAAAACCTAGATGACTTTGGGTATGCAGATGACTTTTCAGATACAACACCAAAGGCACGATCCATGAAAAACACAATTGATAAGCTGGACTTCATTACAGTTAAGAACTTCTGCTCTGCTAAAGACGATGCTAAGGCAGCAAGACATGAGTCACAGGCCTAGAGAATATATTTGCAAAAGATGCATCTGATAAGGACTCTTATCCAAAATATACAAAGAACTCTTAAAACTCAACAATAAGAAAATAAACAGCTCAATTTAAAAAATGGCCCCAAGACCTTAACAGAGAACTCACCAGAAAAGTTACACAGAAGACAAATAAGCATATGAAAAGATGCTCAAGTCGTAAGTCATCAGGGAAATGCAAATTAAAATGACAATTAAATGTCACTACACACCTACTAGAATGGGCAAAATCCCAAAGTCTGACAACACCAAATGCTGACAAGAATGTGGAGCAAAGGGAATTCTCATTCCTTACTGACAGAAATGCAAAATTATACACAGCCACTTTGGAAGCCAGTTAGATGGTTTCTTACAAAACTATGCATACTCTTACCATACAATCCAGTAACACACTTCTTGGTATTTACCCAAGGAGCTGAATACTTAAATATACACTAAAAACTGCATGCAGATGTTTATAGTAACTTTTTTGTAATTGTCAAAATTTGAAAGCAACCAAGATATCCTTCAGTAGGTGAATGGAAAAATAAACTGGTATATCCAGACAATGGAATATTATTCAGCACTAATTTAAAATGAGCTATTGAGCCAAAAAAAAAAAAAATGAAAGAAATCTAAATGGGTATTACTATGTGAAAGAAGCCAATCTGAATAGGCTACATACTGTATGATCTCAACTATACGACATTCTGGAAAAGGCAAAAGTATGGTGTCTCCATAATTTTTACTGCTGTTAAAAGATCAGTGGTTGGGGGGAGGGAGGGATGAATAGGCAGAACAAAGAGGATTTTACCAGTTGCTTTATTTTTTTATTTTTTATTTTTTGCGGTATGCGGGCCTCTCACTGTTGTGGCCTCTCCCGTTGCGGAGCACACGCTCTGGACGCACAGGCTCAGCGGCCATGGCTCACGGGCCCAGCCGCTCCACGGTATGTGGGATCTTCCTGGACCGGGGCAAGAACCCATGTCCCCTGCATCAGCAGGCGGACTCTCAACCACTGCGCCACCAGGGAAGCCCAGTTGCTTTATATTTTAAATGAAATATAGGTATACATATGTGTATATATCTCAGAAAATATTAGTAACCACTGGTACTGGAGTTCCACTTAAGAAACTGTCATCATTTAGACAAATGCCTTGATAAACTTCCATGAGTGTGGAAGGTGAGGTCTTTAGAGTGAGGTATAGAAGGAGACTGCAATACAAGGAGAGAATATTATCTCAAACTACTTTGATAAATTTTTCACTTTTTTATCCTGATGAAAATATCTGTATAGCTACCAAGAAAGCCAAGGTAAAAATCGTGTACATTCAAATGTTATAACAGATGGTCTGAGTCTCGCAGCATCAGTGTCCCATCTATAGTGGGCCCTCAATAAATGTGGAATTCATGAATAAATTGATTACTGAAAGAACACAAAATGCAATTTTCCTGTTTTTTGGTTTTTTCTACTCTGGAAATAAAACTTATATATGTATTGCTTTACACTTTCTGTGTCATACTTTTCTGAAGACACGGATGATCATGCACTTTTACCAAGCATTTGATGGAGTGGGAAACCTGTCAATCTGAATTGGAGAGAATATTTGGAGTATTGGGAATTTTATGGTTTGAAACCTTATGAAGTGTTATTGGGCTTTTGCTTCAGGAAAGAAAGTATGCACTTGTCAACTTAGCTCAGATCAAGCATTTCAAGAGTAATGTTCATAGAATGCTTGGTGAGAAGAAAAAAGGAAACACCAGAACAGAATAGTTCTTACAAAAACTACCTCCCTACAATAAGAAATAAACACAATAAATTAGGCTCTAAAGTAAGTTAGAGGCATGCATAAGATGCATGAAAAGCAACTCTAGTCCTCAACACTGTCTCTTTGCTTTTTAAATAAGTCTGATGATTGAAAGCATTGGCACTTTTGATTTTTAAATATTGTGTTCAGAGAGAAGATCATACTACAGAAATATCAAAATATGAAGGCACAGAATAAAAGGTAGATGAGGAATCTGCAATGTAAGTAGGATAGGTGACTTGGCCAGTTTCATAGAGCTCCTCAGGAGTACAGCTAGAAGAAAGAATGCAACAGAACCAAGAATCCCACTGTTTCTTTCCTAAATTCCAAAGAATCCTAATATAACACAAGCAGGTCAGCTTTTAGACATAACCTCAGGAATTACGTGATTTCAGAGATAAGAATTTTACTTTGTTCAAAAAACAAGTCTCCTGCACAATATTGCCTAAAATTTCAATAGGAAACAGAGCCTTTAATTAACAGAAGATTAAAAGGCCAGAGTGAACACATTAGTGTGAGTGTTCTCACATGCAAATGAAAAATGAAACCTCTTGATAGAGATAAATGACTAGAAATCAGGAAGAACCTGCGTACTTAAAGGGTAAGAGTGTATTTTCTGAAGGAGGAAAGGTTGTTAAAAAGTGACAATGCAGAGACTTCTCAATTCCGCCCTGATCTAAAATCTATATCAAATACTGATTAGAAGCTAAAACCTGAGAGTGAGAATTTCCCTCAAATAATACCTAGATATATGACCAAAGCAAGTCACTCAAACTTTCTGAGCCTCAGTCCTCTCATCTTTAAAATGAGTACATTAATATCTATCTTAAACGACTGTGTGAGAATGAAGAGTTAATATATTGAAAGAATCTGGCACAATGGCTGGCATATAATAAACAGTTAATACATGTTTGTTCTTAATATCAGTTCACATACCTCTTGAGCACATTGACTTGTTAGGAGTAAATATGTTTAAGTCTCATTCATCAGTGTTCAGCAAAGAATGTAAGTTTCATCAGTGTTATTTTAGGCCTTTCAAATTAGGTCATAACCTATTTTGATTTCTATAAAAATATAGCCCCCAAAAGTAAAACTGCATTATACTTCTTGAGAATCTGTTTCAGGTAACTGTGTGATATAATAGATATGTTAATTAACTGGATTATGGTCATCACTTCACTATACTACCTTGTATACCTTTAAAAAACTTGTACATGGGCTTCCCTGGTGGCGCAGTGGTTGAGAGTCCGCCTGCCGATGCAAGGGACGCGGGTTCGTGCCCCGGTCCGGGAAGATCCCACATGCCGGGGAGCGGCTGGGCCCGTGAGCCATGGCCGCTGAGCCTGCGCGTCCGGAGCCTGTGCTCCACAACAGAGAGGCCACAACGGTGAGAGGCCCGCGTACCGCAAAAAAATAAATAAATAAAAACTCGTACAACCTAAATAAATACAATTTTTATTTGTCAATCATACTTCAGTAAAGTTGAAAAAATACTTTTAAATAAAAAATTTCAATCACTAAAAAAAATCTGTTTCATGTTATTAAATCCAATTTTTCTTATCTTTGTACTTCACCCAAATATGTTTCTGTTTAACTTTTATAATTACAAAATAAAAAGCAGTCAGCATACAAATGAATGCTGTAACTATATACCTTGGTTTGAGAGCAAATTCAGTATGTCCCTTTCAATAATTTTTATACAGTTGTGTCTGTCAGTCAAATATATCCATATCTGATATGATATTGGTTTATAAAAAGATTCTTCAATGGCAAAATCCCTATGAAGAGAAGACAATTTAAATTTTTAAACACTTTTTAGCGTGACAATTATAGGAATATTTCTATGTATCTGGACCAGCAATATCATGTCCTAGAGAACTTGTTAGAAATGCAAATTTTCAGACCCTCCCCAGAGCTAATGAATCAGAAATTCAGAGGACAAAGACCAAAAATTACATTTTAACAAGCCCTCCAGGTGATTCTGATGTATGCTGAAGTTTGAAAATCACTGGTCTAAACTCTAGTCAATATGATTGCATGCTATAGATACCCCTAGCTGAAACTTCTTAACAGCTGAGGCGCTGTGCCTACGGATGATAGAGAACGGAGAATTCTTGGTCCATGCCTTGTGATTACAGGGAGAGGCTCCCTACTACACCACCAATTACCAAAAGTCCATAAATTGCAGAAGGGAAGGATACAGCAAAACTTCAAGTCTTAAAACATCAGATCATAATTAAACAGCTGAAGGTCTTGAATTTTAGTCCCTATAGGGAATCCCTAACCAGGATCAATCCAGCTACAATTAGTGTAAGGAACTCCTTTGCACCATGCTTGGCAGTGAAACTGAATAATGTTGACCAGAGAGAGCAGCAACACAGGGGCTTTCAGGGAAGACTTGACTTTGGAAGATCCTTTCAATATTTCAACTCCCTTTTAAGAGAAAACCCCAAATACCTTAAAGGCTTACTCCATTTTGATGAACTTAGATTCTGCGCTTTCTAAACTATAGGATTGGAAACTCTAGGCCTCAAAGTAATTTCAAAGGATTATCAGCTGGTAAGCACACTAGGCACTGTATGTAGACAATAAATAACCAAGCAGGCAACATTCATTCATCACTCAGCCTGTGCCAGAAACTTCTATGTATTCACTCACTCAATAGCCCAATGTGGTAGGTACTGTTAAACAGAGACTTAGAAGAGTAACTTACCCAAGGTCATGCCTAGCACGTGATGCTATTGATAGCAGTCTGATTAGAGAATAAACACTCTTACCACTACCATCTGGGGTCAGAAATGTACAGGCATATCTGGGAAACTGAGTCACTACACAAGACAGAAGTTTTTACATGAGAGACTGAGGAACAACAGAAGACAGGACTTATTCTAAGAAGTAGAAGAACCAGGCACAATAAGTTTGATCAAGTAACAAAGTCTTATTTGCCAAATTTTTACACATTCTGAGTAGCTGTCATTCCATCTGCCCCAGCCTAGCTGTTTGCACTCGTGTCTGTGGCCTAATGTGAAAGAGGCTTTAGCAAAAACTGCACAGTCATTTCACTAAAATCTAGTAAAGTACAGTACTGTTTAAGGATACCTCTAATGGAGAGTAACACTAAAAGCAAATGGATGAGGGCACTTTTCTTGGCTTCCCTTCCCCCTCCCATCCCCTAACCCCCATCTACATATAAGGGCAGTATATTAAGTAGAGCCAGGCTGCTTGGGAACTAGAAACTGGAAAATCAAGAGCATAGATCCTTCTTGCTGTCTCTCAGGAGCTGCCTAGCCACTAATCTCTTTTTTTTCCTGCTATGGCTAAGTACACTGATTTTGATACCTAATAAATCTGAGTTTGAACCTCAATTCTAAACCCAGTTCTAACCCTTACTATCTATAAGACCACAGACAAACTTTTAACCTCTTGAAGCTTTCACTCTTTTATTTGTAAAATGGAATAATAATTAGTACCTACCTCAAAAGCAGTGATATGTTACCCCATAGGCAGAATAAGGATGTACTCATTGTACCAGTAAAGCAGGGTTGTCAAGACGAAATGATAAAACATTTTTAATGGATATGAAAAAGCATCAAAATGGTCATCAAAGTAGTGATATTAACAACTAATAGTTATTTGAAATTCCATTTGGTGTGTGCTTGCATTAGGGGAGGGATGACAAAGCACCATAATCTTTTCAGTGCTTATTGCAATTGTAAGTTTCAACATGGCTCTGCTCATAGCATGGATATGAGGATCAAAAGAGATAGAATGCGCTTGAAGTAACGTTTGGCCCAAAGTGAGCTCTCAGTAAATGTTAACTGTTATAATAATCTGCATTAGCTTCCACTAATACCTTCTGCTGCCTCATAACTTTAGCTTGTGGAGCCAACTCTAACCCTTGCTCTACAAGACCTTTCAACTCAAGTACGCCATAACTGAACACAACAGTCTATGTCTCTTTGTTCAAATTCTCAAGAAAAAAAAAAAAAAGGTGGATTGGACCCAAGCAATTGTAGGCTGAAGTGGAGGTTGGTGGAACAGAGTTGAGTTATATAACCTCCTAGCCTCCCCCTTTTTTTTGTTTCAACAAGGGCTATAACTACAGTCTGAGAAGTCAGCTTTTGCTAGTTTCTGCTGTGGTTAAAAAGCAACCCTCAAATCTTGTTGTTTACAAGAATGAAGGTTTATCTCTGGCCCACATCACATCATAAACTGACTGCAGATTGGCTGTGATTCTGTCCCACACATCTTTCCAGGATCCAAGCTGAAGGAACAACCCCTATCCATGATGCACACTTCTTGTGACAGAGGGAAAAGAACAACAGTGGAATGATTGATGGCAAGTAATGTTTCTGCTTAGCCAATATGTATCTATCATTCATGCTCACGAAGAAAAGCACATGGCCAAGCCTGGGGCTGGGAAGTACAATTCTCCTGCAGGAAAGGCCGTGAATAGCTGGGAAAAATAATACAACCGAGGACAGGGAATAAGGGGGAGCAAGTCTTTTAAAACATACCTATTAAAATCATGTGAAAAACAGTAATATTTAAGTACAAAACTTACTAAGTAATGTACATTTTTGGGAGCTACTGCTTAAAATGTTACTTCAAGTTCTCTCAAGCCACTGGACAATCTGAAGAAGTTTCTAGTCAGCATGATGGCATAGAAACTCATGTTTTTCATACACGAACCAGTCAATACCAAAGTGTTTTGGAGACAACAAAACTTAAACATATGCATTATCCTAAATTTTAATATAGTGTCTATGCCTTTCCATACTCAGTACAGAAATGGCTCCTTAAAAGAGCCATTTTTAATTTTTTAGTAAACGGAAGAATTTAGTAAACAACATTTCCTGCAGCATGAACTTTATGCACTTGAACCTAATCAGTTTTCTTTTTTTTTGCTTCATTAAAATGTGAATTTAGGGGATTATTATTATTAGCTTTAAATAGCATGGGGAGCATCCATACTTAAATGTCATAGAAATTTAGCATTCATGTCATATAATTCTAGAACAGTCCAAGGAGTCTGTAGATGATACTATATAATGAAACTATTATTTTCCAGATTAGCCATAATAGGCCAAAAATGCATAATTTAGGTATCCACAATTAGAAGTAAAAAGCATGACTGTATATTTCATGCTTTATAAATAAATGTTCTGACTGTAAACTTTTGAAGAGTTGTGGCAAACAACCACGGAAGTCAAGGAACAGTTCCATTGCTGTCTTCTCTCTAGAAATCAAAGTTTTTCACTGCTCTCCCTACTTTGTCTGTCAGGAGACTTGTACAGTCTGCTGCTCCTTGTGTCAAGGGGCCATTATAGCTCAAACTTCCAAGAGACCCACAGCAAATCCAGGGTACTAGTCACCCAAAGTAGGGATTGAAGTTTTACAGAGGTGAATCAGTATTTTCATCCTACTTAAGAAAAGTACTTATTTTGATAATGAAAGTAAAAGAAACTATCAATATCTTTCTAAGAAATCATATTGCTTCATTTTCTACATATCTTTATTCTTCTTAAGTTAAAGCCAGTGAAGATACAAAAAGATGAATTAAAGAACTGAATTTTTCATTGGTTCAAACAATTTATGCTGAAATTTTCTTATAAGGGTTAATTTTTTTTTAACTATTATGAATCTTCCTTAAAGGCAAGGCAATTTTACCCATCAGGCACTATAACTACAGTGCTTAAGGCCTAAGTTCACGTAACAAAAAACTTGTTTAAAATTTTCTTACCCAAAACTTTCTTTTCCTGGCCCCTTCAAAAGTAGAGAGAAAGAAAGAGAGAGAGAGAGAGAGAATCAATTTTGAAAGTAAACAATCCAATGATATAAAGCAAGGCTGTAATAATTGTAATCAGCAGTTTTTTTTAAGGTCAGAATCATCTGACCTTAAAAAATTAATAAATGTAACTTCTTGATAAATTTTCCAAGAATAAAACATTGCAAAATGTATTCTAAGTCACCTAATGAGCCAACTACTAAATTGATAGCTACATGCAAGTTGAAGGCCAGAGAACATCTCCCCAAACCTATGGCTTTGCTTTTGGAGAGTTCATCTAAAGCCCCTCTGTCTCCTACCAGAAGTAAAACAGCTGAGCTAGTCCTCTATTCCTAGTTTATGACTGTGAAGCCATGCCTTTTGCATTAAGAGCAAGCCTAGTCTTCAGTTCTCTGTAGTGTGGTGGGTAAGGAGTAGCTGGAAATGACAGTGGAGAAGTATGATTGCTGTATCAAATGGTAGTTCTATTTTTAATTTTTTGAGAAACTTGCATAATGGCTGTACCAATTTACATTGCCACCGACAGTGCACTCTAATTTTAATATACAGTGTGTTTATAAGATAAACAAGTACTGGGGATATATTATACAACATAATGACTATAGTTTTAAATATATATAGTTATGTTTAACATGACCTCTGGGACTTCCCTGGTGGTCCAGTGGTAAAGAATCTGCCTTACAATGCAAGGGATGCGGGTTTGATCCGTGGTCAGGGAACTAATATCCCACATGCCATGGGGCAGCTAAGCCCGTGCACCACAACTACAGAGCGCATGCACCCTGGAGTCTACATGCCACAACTAGAGAGAAAACCTGCATGCCACAACAAGAAAGAAGCCCGTGCACCACAACGAAAGATCCCACGTGCCATGACTAAGAGTTAACACAGCCAAAAATAAATTAATTAAATAAATAAAGAATAAAATAAATCTTTTTAAAAAAATGACCTCTTTCCATTACCATTTAACAATCTGCATTTAGCTTTATTAATTTTTCCTTATACCATCTGATTTGTATATGTTACTTTCCCCCTAACTCCCCCATATATCTAATATCTAACTCCTCATATACCTAATCTCCCTTCTGTGATGGAAGAGGAAAACGAGGTAACATTTTTTTCTTAAAACCCTATCTTTTCTAACCATCAAATGTTATCTCTGGTTTCTCTAGCACAGTGTGTTAAATTCTTTTTTGGTGATTTGAATATCAAAGACATTATTTCCTTTTCATGAAATGACATCTTATGTAAACCATTTTCTTTCAAACTTGCAACATATTATTTCCTTCCTAGGAGGGACTGCCTGACATCTTTAAAGTAACTATTCTATTCAAATACTGTTTACTTTGGTAAATCCAATGTCTTTGAACTAAACTCTTTTTTTATACACTGGAAAGTGACTAATTCCTATGCTTTCATTAAACAAGGATAGACGTGCATTTCAATATACAGTAATGGATTTCTGAAGTCTATGCTTTATACAAAAATGTTAAATTTCCTTTGAAAACTGAGGCCAGGAGTAATTAGTTTTTCCTTAAGAAAAATAAACATTTTATTGCTAACTTAGACATTGGGGTTACCATATACCAGGATCTTGCATGGCTTCCCTTAGCACACAAGCTCAAAATGTTAGTTTTCCTGTAAAAGTTATAAATATTTTTATTATAAATTTATGAATGTTGAATACATAATTGTATGAACATTGATCATCCCATTGAAGACTCTCAGTAAGAGCCTTCTATGTACAAAGTACCACAGAAGATAGAGCTACAAAGAAGGTTCCTGACTTGTATCTCCAGATAAATGACACCTATAAGTAAAATGTCCATCTCCTGAACCTGATGATCTGAATGTTTGCCCTCCTACGTCTAGTCTCCCAGAACAATAAGAATAATGCTATCCTCTCTCTACAAAGAAAATGTAGCACATGACTTTGAAGATTTTTTTTCAGAAGTGGTGATAGGTCTTTTCATTTGCCCATTCCTGAGCTGTATAATATGGCAGCCATTATGCAAATGTGGCTATTGAACACTTGGAATCAGCCTAGTCTAAATCAAAACAGGCTGTTGGTGTAAAATACACACTGATGTCAAAGAATCAGCATGAAAAGAAGAATGCAAAGAATCCTGATTACATGTTGAAATTTTAATGTTTTGGATATACTAGGTTAGATAATGAATTATTAAAATTAATTTCACCTGGGTTTTATTAAACTTTTCTAACGTAACTATCAATACTAGACAATTTTAAATTATATTTGTGGCTTGCATTGCATTTCTACTGAACAGCACTAGTCTAGTCTCTCTCCCCTGGATCCTAAATGGTACACAATCACAGTATGAAACATGTGACTTAAGTTAGGGGTATCACATGGTACAATGACAGAGAATAAAATGAACAGGCCAACAAAAGGATTAAATATGTGATGTCAAAATCTATAACTGGATGTTGATTAGATGTAACGTGGTAATTGTTTCAATAAATGCAAATATCGAATCATTACATTGTATATCTGAAACTAATATAATGTTATATGTCAACTATAACTGAATTTAAAAATCTATAACTAAATGAATTAATCATTTATAATTCCAAGGAATCTGAGAAATACCAATGGGTCTAACTGTAAGAGTAGCAGCAAGAAGTCAGTCCTGCCAACTCAGATCCTGTCGGTCTGATCATTTGGGGGAATCCTGGTACCTGCAATGCCTGAATACTCACATGCTTATACATGTAAAGGATGATGGTGACAATAACTGTCATTTACTGAACGCTTAATTTATGTCAGATACTTTATAAAGATTCCTCGTGTAATCTTTATAATAATCCTAAAGGTGTATTAGTTGGGGTAGGCTAACTGCTGAAACAAACATCCTCCAAGTTTCAGTGACTTACCAAAATAAATGTTATTTCTTGCTTACATCTGATGGGGTGGCAAAGGAGTGGCAGCAGACTCTGTTCAAGGCTTCTTCTGTCTTAAAGTTCTTGTTTCTCATAGGTCTCTGGAGTCCTCCCCAGTAAGCCAGCAGATGGAGAAAAGAAGAGAAGAGCGCACTTGGGGGATTTTTATGAGCCAAGCAGGAAGTGGTGCTTTTTCTTTCCAACCAGCAATCCATTGCCAGAATTCAGGCCTGGACACACCAGTCTGCAAGAGAGGCTGAAAATATTTATTGTGCCCAAGAATAAAAGGGAAACATTAGCAGTCTCTGCAGCAGGCACATTTTACAGATAAGGACACTGAGTCTCTGAAACATTCAAATAAATTCCCTAAGGTCACAGATCTAGAAAACAACATTCAACCACAGGTCTGTAGGACCCAAAAGCCCATGCTCTTTCTAAGTAACACTGCAGAACTCACAGGAACTGTCACCACCTCAGTATACTGACCTCAGTGGGATGATCAAGCAAATGGTAAGGACAGAACATGAAGTGATTAAGATGAAAGCGGAGTATTTTCTTCATAGGCAGATGCCTAGTGAGCTGGCTATGAAGGGTTGATAAAATTGTTGTCTCCGTATAACAATTTTTATATATTTCCATATATAAAAAGATATATATGGAAATCATTAAGCTAATTTGGCTATAAATGAGATAGAAATCAAGACACATCAAAAGATTAGATAGGCAAAAACTACTAGAACTACAAATAAGAAACATGGAGGTTCAAAGACTTGAAACTTGAATTTGATATGAAAGATCACGTTGGGCTCTAAATTACTGATGCAAGTGAACAAATTTCTTTTAGTGGCCATTGAATTATGCAATTGGTTTGGGTGCGAAAGTCTAGAAGCAAACAGACAGGAAAGTTATCTAAAAGGATGGTAACTATGATAAAGAAAAAGGGAAGAGCCAATGGTGCTAGTCATTTGCTATGTTTTTTTTCTCTGTTTCTGTATTCATTGCATCTTAGGAGCACTTCCATATCATGTTAGTCAGTATTCCTGACTCTACTAAATCTTATGAACACGTTTCTGAGAGAATATAATTTGTTTCCTTTTTCAGTTCTATTGCCATTCTCAGAAGGTTACTTATCTAACCTTAACCCTCCTTGGGACAATCTTTCACTGTTCTCAAAAATATGATACTTTCTAAACTTCATGTGACTCTACCATGTTTCTACAAATCTGGAAAAAAAAAGATTACATATCTTAATTCTATTCTTATGGGGACATGACTTGGGTTAGACCTTTTTCTGAATCTCGGTGAATGGCATTTTCAGATAGGCAGTTTTCTGCCATGCTCTGTTAGGTACTGGGTAAGAGTTTTATTCCATCAGAGCTTCCCTACTACCTTACTCAGAGATAATCCTCAAAGCCAAGTCTGTCTCAGCTTGAAAAGTGAGGCAGGACTATAGGAGACCATTGGAAGTTGTGTGTTTACTTAAATTTTTACTACCATGTGTGCTGCACACCTTCAAATATCCCCATAATCGTCCTGTGAATCCAGTCATCTGATCTGTCAACTGGAACCTCATCCTCTGAGAAAGGCTCCTATGAGAAATTCCAGTGCCCTTAGTCCCATGTACTTGCTTTCTCATGGTCAACCATAGCTCTTACTTCTGCTGAAGTACTGATGACACACACCTCACCTCTTAGAGATGATTGCTTCTCTTTGTTCTATACAGAGCTTCTTTCCTTGATTTCCCCCAAACCACACAGACACTGCAATGCCATGAGTTGTTACATTGCCAAAAGGCCTTTAAAGTTCTCAGCTACTATGCCGTCATAGTGGCATAGGAATTTTTCTATCTTTCTCCACAGATTCAGCCTGCTACCTATGTTTTATGGCCTTTTTTCTAACTCCATCCTCCCTTGTCTTTCTTCCTGGCATTCCTCCTCCACATCTATGTTCACTTCTTTATGCATAACTGTTTAGTTCTCTCTTTGTATTGCAGCCTCCTTCTACACCTCACTGAAAAGGCCTCACCTTCCACAGTCATGGAAGTTTATCAAGGCATTTTCCTAAATGAAGACAGTTCCCTAAGTGGAACTCTAGTACCAGTGGTTATTAATATTTTCTGAAATATATACATATATTTATACATATAATTCATTTAAATATAAAGCAACTAAGCTTCAGAGGACATAAATTTCCAGTTCATATCCTGACAATACATGTCACTTTACCCTAAATACCTTTGCCTTTTAAAATACTGTCAACACAACGCTGTTTTTTATTTTAATTAATAAACTGTATTTCTAGAGCAGTTTGAGGCCCAAAGCAAAATCAAGCAGAACATACAGGGTTCCCATAGAAAGTCTGTCCCCATACACACACACAACCTTCCCATTATCGACGTCCTGCACCACAGTAGTAGATTCATTACAACTGATGAACCTACATTGACACAACACAATCACTCAAGGTTCATAGTTTACATTAGGGTTCACTTTTGGTTTTATACATTCTATGGGTTTTGACAAATGAATAATGACATGTATCTACCATTGTCTTATCATATAGGATAGTTTGCCCTAAATATCCTCTGAGCTCTGCCTATTCTTCCCTCCCTCCCTCCTAATCCCCGGCAACCACTGATCTTTTTAGTGTCTCCATAGTTTTGCCTTTTCCAGAATGTCCTATAGTTGAGATCAAACAGTATGTAGCTTTTCAGATTGGTTTATTTCACTTAGTAATATGGTTTCTCTGTATCTTTTCATGGTTTGGTAGCTCATTTCATTTTAGCACTGAATAGTGCTCCATTATCTGGATGTACCACAGTTTATTTTTCCAGTCATGTACTGAAGGACATCTTGCTTGCTTCTAAATTTTGGCATTACGTATAAAGCTGCTATAAACATCCATGTGCAGGTTTTTGTGTGGACCTAAGTTTTTAACTCCTTTGGGTAAATACCAAGGGGCACAATTGCTGGATCATATGATAAAAAATGTTTAGTTTCAGAAGTAACTGCCCAACTGCCTTCCAAAGTGGCTGTACCATTTTGCATTCCCATCAACAACGAATGAGAGCTCCTGTTGTTTCACATGATCATCAACCCTTGGTGCTGTTATCAGAGTTCTGAATTTTGGCCATTCTAATTGGGATGTAGTGGTATCTCATTGTTGTTTAATTTGCAACTCCCTAAGGGCATATGATATTGAACACCTTTTCATATGCCTACTTGCCATCTGTACATCTTCTTTGGTGAAGTGTCTGTTCAGACAATGCTGGCTTTTAAGATAAAAATTTATGACATCCATCATTTTATATTGTCATTGACCCGGCTTTTAAAAGTAAAAAAGAAGCTACTCCGGTTTTCTCATTTTACAAATAAGAAAACTGAGTCAGTAAAAGTGAAAACTGAATACATGAAAATAGTTACAAATTTAGACAGAAGAAGTAGGCTGAGGACTGAGTCAGTCAGAAAAAGAAGTCAGTAAAGTATACAGTATAAAAATGACCAGAGAAGGAAGTAAAACAAGAAGAATAGAGTGTTATAGAAGTCAAGAAAGGTTAGAGATAAAGCAGATTATTTGTTCATTTGCTTTGAAAAAGAGCTTTTACAATAGCAGTAGGCCTCTATGATCGCTGGGCAGCAGCAAGGCACAGTGGAAAGATCATTAGATTGCCTCCACCCCATAATCTGGGGTATGTAAATTTAAACACTTTTTGGTTTGTTCTAGTATGTCCATCTGTAAAATCAGACTATGCTTCTTCTAGCTTCCAAATTCTGTGTTTTCTTTCCCATGGTATTTCTCTCTCTTACTTTAACAAACTTTTTACATCTTTTTTCTTTGATAATTGTGATGACTTTTTAGCATCTACCTCACTGTGCCCTGTTAGATCTCTAATGATTGACCACATCATAATCAAAACTTGTTATTTGTTGTCTTTTGGATAAAAGCCACTCTGACAGGTGTGAGGTACTATCTCATGGTTTTTATTTGCATTTTTATTTGCATTTATTTGCATTTTATTTGCATTTCCCTGATGATTAGTGATGCTGCTCATTTTTTTATGTGTCTGTTCGCCACCTGTATGTCTTATTTGGGAAAATGTTTATTCAGTATTCAGGTCCTCTACCAATTTTTTTATCAAATCGTTTCTTTTTTTGATGTTGAGTTGCATACATTATTTGTATATGTTGGATATTAACTCCTTATCACATAAATCATTTGCAAATAACTTCTCTCATTCAGTAGGCTGCCTTTATATTTTATTGATGGTTTCCTTTGCTGTGAAAAACTTTTTAGTTTGATGTAGTCCCATTTGTTTATTTTTGCTTTTGTTTCTCTTTCCTGAGGAGACACATCCAAAAAAATATTGCTAAGGCTGATATCAAAGAGGGTGCTGCCTACATTTTCTTCTAGGAGTTTTATGGTTTTAGGTCTCAAATTTAAGTCTTGCTCACTTTGAGTTTATTTTTTTATATGGTGCAAGAAAGTGGTTCAGTTTCATTCTTTTACATGTAGCTGTCCAGTTTTTTCAACATCATTTACTGAAGAGGCTGTCTTCTCCCCACTGTATATTCTTGCCTCCTTTGTTATAGATTAACTGACCATAGACGTGTGGGTTTGCTTCTGGGTTTTCTATTCTGTGCCATTGAGATATGTGTCTGTTTTTGTGCCAGTACCACTGATTATTATAGCTTTGTAGTATAGTTTGAAATAAAGGAGTGTGATACACCCAACTTTGCTCCTTTTTCTCAAGGTTGTTTTGCCTATTTGGGGTCTTTTCTGATTCCATACAATTTTTTAAATTATTTGTTTTAGTTCCATGAAAACTGCCATTGGTATTTACATAGGGATTGTACTGAATCTGTAAATTACCTTGGGTAGTATGGACATTTTAAAAATATTAATTGCTCCAATCCATGAGCACATTGTATCTTTCCATTTGTTTGTGTCATCCTCAAGTTCTTTTATTTACGTCTTACAATTTTCTAAGTACAGGTCTTTCACCTCCTTGGTTAAATTTATTCCTAGGTATTTTATTCTTTTTTGGTGCAATTGTGAGATTGTTTTCTTAATTGCTCTTTCTGATAGTTCATTACTAGTGTATATAAATGCAACAGATTTCTGTATATTGATTTTGTATCCAGCTCTTTTACTTAATTCATTCACTATTCCTAATAGTTTTTTTTGGTATGTACTTACAGTTTTCTACAAATAATATCACTGCAAACAGTGACAGTTTTACTTCTT